GTGTAACTTCCAGAACCCCGTTATTTTTGTTCATATTGGCAGTGTTTTTTTACATTTTTGCAAGAAGCAGCGCATAAATCGTTGCAGATTTGGCCAATTTTGCCACTGGGCGAGCATATGTCCGGCATGGCTTATATTATGTTTACCTCTCCCTCTTTTTGGTTTGCATTTTTGCTCATCCCGATCATTACACTATTCACCGACTTCACCATCAAAGCGTACGTCTTTTTTTCATAATAGCGAAAATACTAGAAAATAAGTGATGAAATAAGGAAGTAAAAATAAGGAGTTTTTTCTTGACTTTTCGTTGTATCACAGCCAGCTTGTATTTATGTATTTTAGTTTTTGCCCTTTCATACTGTGAATATGATTTAGCTTTATGAAAATTATCTTCTCCCAAAAAATTCTCACAGTTTAGGTGAAAATTATAAAGGCAAATCCTTGCAGAAATCGTCCTGCACAATTCTATAACATTGATTTTTGTGATTTTTATAAGCTTATAATATTATGCTTTCAGAATTAGGGTGAACTTTGCACCAACACCACGTGAACTTGCTTGCCTACATGAGCGATCGAAAGAAAAGCTTAGCGGAAAAAACGTGGAATTAGCTGGGTACCTTTTTGAATTTTCGTTGGTTGTTTTTTTAATCTGTTCCTAAAATCATTAAATATATTCTTTGAAGTGGCTGAACGAGGTCATTGAAATGACTGGGGTAGCCTGGGTTCTCTGTGTATGGAAAAACCCGTGATGTTATCGGGATGCTGTAATTTTTTATGTTTCTTGTCTCCGTTGATACTTGCCAGTTCTAACATGTAATTTCACGTTTTTCGAAAAACCCGTGTACGCGTCAGCGGCTTTTTTCTTTGCCATAGCTTTATTAAAGCGAGAAATAATATTTTTCTGCCGAAAATCTTGCTGAAGTTGTTTATTAACCTGATGTCAGCGCTTCCTCAGCCTCGTAGTCTCCCTCAAATTTGCCTGGAAGCAAGCCAAGAATTGGCACTGCTAAGAGCATAAAATGCAAAATGCCACCAGAAAGAAAGAAAATTCTGGAGCAAGACTCAAAAGCACTTCATAATAATTCTGAGGAGCATCGAGTTGCTCACAGATTTCTGTTTGATTGGTTTGCGTATGCACGGTGTGCTCTTCTCGGTATGTTGAAAAGTACAAGTCTTTTCTAATCGTCCTTTTCATGTGTAACTCTTTCGGTCGATCTAACCAGTAAGATATAATTTGCATTTCTTTTTTGTTTTTATCCTATTTTAAATTACACAGCCTTGCAAATTTTAACGTTTTTTGTTCAAAATTTGGGTAAAATAACTGGGTGCTTGGGAAAAAGCAAAATGTGAATGAGTGAAATAAACGATATTGGTTCAGCTGAATTCTTTCAAATCCTTTATTGGCAATTATTTCAAGTACAATAGAATTTTAGTACAGTAGAGTTTACAGTAGAATTTACAGTAGAATTTTAAAGTAGAATTTTACAGTAGAGTCAGTACAGTAGAATTATTGACTGGGAAATCTCGATTACAGCAAAAATACTTTTGTCAGCAATCATTCCAGCTTCATTTACATCGTTCATTTCAAGTCGCCATAGAGTGGATTCACCCTAAAACTGCAAGGCCCTTTCTTGATTGCATTTGGCGGACAAGCAATGCTTTTGTCCCATTTATAGTGACTTATTTTGACTAGCTGTTATTTCATCGTTGCTTTTTCTTGCTAGTGGCGCCGCTGAAAACTTATCCTATTATGCTTCTTTCCAGACAGTCGTCCTAACAAATACTTCGGCCCCACTTACGCCCCCTTCCCCCTCTGTTTTTATGCGTTTTTGCCTATATGCAAATTGCAAAAACGCATATTGGGACGACCCTGTCTG